ACATCTCGATCTCATAGAACGAATTAAACTAATTAGAAACGAGTTAGGAATTGCATCTCACTCCTCTCAACCATAAACTGCACCAATCCCATCAGATTTTTGGAATTCTCTTCTCCACATTCCTCTTAACAATGGCCCGCGAACTTTCTATTGGGTTTAAATCAGGACTGTTGGATGGCCAATCCATAACTTCGGGAAGTTTTCTTGAAGAAATGTTTGGGATCATTATCCTGTTGAAACCCTAGCATTCTGGCATTTAAACATAAATTCTGCATCCATGATTCTCGGAAGCAAAAAAGATCGGTCTTTTCATGGATGCAAAGTTACCCCAAGCAATAATTTTTGTATGATCTTTTGGCATTGGGTGAACAGGTCTTACATTCTTATACCATCTTTCAATCGTGTTTCGGTAAAGTTGGGAAGCTGTATCGTCTGGAAAATAGGGTTTTCTCCAACCATCATTAAGATGATTTCGTGTCCACTCTCACGACGTTCTTTATGTCTTGTTGTTAGCGTTGAGATGGCTCTTGGCAAAATTTTCCTATATCCGATCCTTCCAAATGCCCTAAAACTGTTACATATGAAATCTCTATTCCTTTATTTAATATTTTATTAGCCAAAGACCTCAAAGAAATAGGAGAATCTCTACGAATATATTTCCCGATGCTTCCGCAGTAATTTTCTTTTTTCTACTGTTACCCCTTTATGTAATGTTATGCAACTGACGAGCAGAACGTATTCTTTTGCAATTACATCGATTTGGTTAAAAGATAAAACTAAGTCTTGTTTTGATGTTTTGGTAGTTAAATTTTTTAATCAAAAACTTTCCATTTTTGTATATATTAAATTATTCAATACGTATTAGTATATTTCTTTCATATAATTATAGCATATAATAAACATTATCATAACAAATATTATTTCATCTTTTGCTAAATTTATTTTTTTATTTTTTTTTATATATGTGCGATATAAAATACAAATAGTATAACAATGACTGACTACTTATTAGATGTGAGATTGCAATATAATAATATAAAATTTTCTTTTCTTCATTAAAGTTTAGCTTTAATATTATTATTTACAGTTGTGATTTCATCATATAACAAAGTAGTGATAAAATCTGAATAATCTTTACCAGCGATCTGACTTGCCAAATATCGTTTTGCCAAAATATATTTTGTACTACCAAATTTCTGAGGACCAATCTGTCTTTCCAAATTTGTAACTTCTTCATCAAGCAATTTAAGTAAATATTCACCTGTGATAACTTTACCCTCAATAGTTCTAGCACGATGTTTAGCCCATTGCCATAACTGAGATCTTGAAATTTCAGCAGTTGCAGCATCCTCCATAAGATTATGAATAGGTACACAACCCAAGCCACGAAGCCATGATTCAATATAGATAAGACCAACTGAGATGTTGTTGCGAATACTTGCTTCAGTGATTGAACCAGGGAAATTTGTGTTAATTAAATTCAATGCATTAACATTGACATCTTCACGCCTAATAAAAATTTGATTTGGTGTTTTCAAATGTTCATTAAACACATCTAATGCAAGTTTAACAAGGTCAGGATGTGCAACCCAAGTCCCATCATGTCCTGCCTTTACTTCACGAAGTTTATCAGCTCTGACTTTGTTCATGGCAATCTGATTGGCTGCTGGGTCATTTTTGATGGGGATTTGTGCTGCCATACCACCCATTGCATGTACACCTCTACGGTGACATGTCTTGATCAATAGACGTACATATGAATCCATGAATGGAACTGTCATTGTGACATCTGAGCGACTTGGTAAAACAAAGTTGGGATTGTTTCTGAATTTTTTGATCATAGAGAAAATGTAATCCCATCGACCACAATTAAGTCCGGCAGAATGTTCTTTTAATTCATAAATTATTTCATCCATTTCAAAGGCTGCAAGAATTGTTTCAATCAATACAGTGGCACGAATTGTTCCTCGAGGAATACCAAGAAGATCTTGTGCAACATTAAATATATCATTCCAAAGTCTTTTGTTATTTTGAGAAAATATAAAAAAATTTTTAAATAAATAAGGTTTTTTATTTAAAAAAATTGATCAAACGGAAATTAAGTAAAAAATAGAAACCTTGCTTCCAAGTGTGATTCCATTTTAGGCAAATAGAAATAGGGTCCAATACCTGCTTCAATAGATTTTTTAGCATTATGGAAAAAATATAAACCAAAATCAAAGATTGATGCCGATAGTGGTTCATTGTCAATCAAGACATGTTTTTCATCTAAATGCCAACCACGAGGACTATTCAATATGTAATATGCATATATGAAATCAATATTAAAATAAAACATTAGAAATATAATTAATTTCTTTTAACACATTAAATTGAATTGGGTGGGGTTGAATGTAAATTACCGAACAATTAATGTTGCAATATTTCCATCTTTTCTTAATTCGTATTTCTTATTATTACCAGGATTAACATATGTGATTGTTTTTCGAATTGCATCACGTAAATTTACTTGACCATCAATATTATTGGTCCAAGTTGGAGCATTGGAATCTTAATATAATGATAAAAATTTATAATAACAAAATTTTTTTATTAAATTGATTGTCGATACAAATTAAAAGAAAAATTACCTTCAAAATCTGCCATATAAGTATAAGCATTACTATTCAAAGCATTGATAACCATTTTCCTATCAACAGGGCCAGTTATCTCAACACGCCTATCAACCAAACCAGGTGCAGGATAAGCACCACGCCAACTATCATTTTCTCTGATGTAAGCAGTTCCAGGTAAAAAATCTGGAAGTATACCACGATCCAATTCTTGTTGTTTAAGAATACGTCGTTGAAGTAAAGTTTTTCTTGTAGGGTTAAAAGCTCTATGAAGTTTTGCTACAAACTCTAAAGCCTCTGGTGATAATATTTCATTATATTGTTGACTAGTAACTGGTGCAAGTACTAAAACACCTGGATTAGACATTTTATTATTATTATTATTTTTGTAGAAAAAAAATTTTTGTTTGCGGATTTGTTTATAAAACAACAACGTATTAGATTCGAATATGGGGATCTTTTTCAATAGAAACGAGGACAACATCGAGTTAATACCTTATTTATATGTAACTCTTTCAGGTGGGTATAATATTTTGGCTTAGAATTTTGAACATGACCCCCGAAAACTATATAGATAGATTCCTATCATAGCTGAATCAATCTTTAAAAGCATCATGATTTTTTGCTATAATCAATCGTTTACTACATCTTATTTATAATCAGCATCTCACTAAAATCTATTTCCAAAAAAGGGAAATACAAGGGTTATATGGAGCACGCTGCAACAAAACTAGGGATGCCAACGGTCGGTTCGATTCGGTTTCAGTTTTAAAGTCGCGGTTTTCAACCAAAATCGAACCGAACAGCAAAACCGACCGATGCTATATGAAAAATTTTAATTTACGATTCTTTTCTTTTTATTCTTTTTATATGATCTTCTCGCACTAGCCAAATATTAAACTCAATTTAAAAATATGGAATAAATAAAAAATTTTTACCAATTTTTCTCCATACCATTCACTTTAATAATTTAAACGCATTAAAGATAGTGATCTTTATCACACAAAATACTAAAACCGAACAATTAGTTCATTTTATTTTTTTATTAATTATTATTATCACACGGAGAAATTTAGTGGATCGATTCAGAAAAAATAATAATTCTTTTTTAAATTTGTTACCCAACAAAAACAGAAAATTCCTTCCTAAAAATCAAATTTAAAAAACAATGATTATTTGTGAGCTGTTCATATCCATTCCTCTTATCTGTACTTTGCAATTCTTGAGCTCTGCAGAAAAGAGAAAGATATTATTGTTTATAATCGGTTTGGAATTGTAGAGCCTTAGATTTTCCAAAAAGTGATTGTTTAGCAAATGATTATCGCTTCTAAAACACTCTAAACAAAAAGAATAATGAAATGCAATACTGATTCCAACTAATTTCTAACTAATTAATAAAAATTATCCTGTCAAAAAGTAATTAATTGACAGAATAATTCATGTAACGTTAGAGTACATCACTTTAAATACTAGTAGGAAAAAACCTAAACTCAACAGGTTTGAAATTATACCAAGAAATTCGGCAAAAAAATAGGGGTGAAAGTAAACTTATATCAAGCAGAACGATTAGTTGATCGGTTTTCTATCGGTTTTTTATCATATAAAACCGACGGTTAACTGGTCGGTTTAAGACCAAAACCGAAACATAACCGAAACTGGTAAAAACCGCATCAAGCTGTTTAACGACAACACATGAAAAATACAGCCTACGAATGACAAATGGGATTGTACAATGTTTGCAAGCATTCAACTTTTTGAAATAAGGCTCGTAGACGGCACAAAAAAAAAGCCAAATTTACTAAAAAAAGTGATGCCATGTCCTGGAGGAGAATGGCTAAGCATAATTGTTTTCCCAAAAAAATCCGAGTTATTGACAGTCTTAATAATAGTGTATTTTTTGTTTCACAAAAGATTTCTCCCGATTCACGTCAATTATCTACCCGTACAACCTAAAAATTGATGCCAACCAACTTGTTTGTTGTACTTGGTCATCACCATCACCTTCGTTCAAAAGATCAACCGGCGTAAGTTTTAATTTCCTTATGTTTTTTCAGAAATGATTATTAGTCGCGGGACATTGCAGATCAAGTGTCATTCAATATAAACGTTACACGAAAAAATTTATTGTCGTCCACT